CCTGAGATAATAATAAAATTATCTCACACCTATCACTATTATATCGGGCGCATGATAAAATTTACAAAATTAATTATCAAGTACTTAGTAATAATCAATCATATTGGATACCCGATATGTTTATTCTTTCTTGATAGGTGTCCGATAGGTACCCAATATTATAAATATATTGGATACCCGATAGGTCCGATAAATATCCAATATTTAAATTTTGACCTGTATATTTTCTTCATACTGATTTCATCCTTCTTTTCTCTCTTCTTGCTTATTTCAATCTTCTCCCTCCTCTTTTAATATATTTCGACTTCCCTCCCTTTCTTCTAACCCTTTTTCTAATATATTTTGATCCACTTCCCCTTTTTCTTTTATATTTCATCTCCCTTCTAATGAAATTGTTGATTTCATCCCCTCTTCTCGTGAAAATGTCAAAATCACCAATTTCACCAATTCTCTTTACAAAAATATCAGTTTTCTCTTTCCTCCCAAATTTTATACCTTTAATTCCCTTTCACTTTCTTCTTCTTCTTTTAATATTATTTCTCCCTCTTCTTCTATTTCATTTATTTGTTTTTTGTAACTTTGATTGAATTGTAAAGATTCGATTTCACTATTTTCACTGTTATTAAAAAGAAGTTTTTCAATGAAAACAAAAGGTTTATCAGGAAAATTACTTTCAACTTCATGTTCTTTCTGAGTACCACTTAAATATAATGAACTTTCTCCTTCTTCAATCATTTTTTTAATTAAAAAAAAAAAAGAACATGGGAAAATTAAAGTAGATTTAAATAAATTTGTAAAATAGAAGATTTATTTTTTTTTTATTTTAGAGACGAATTGAAAGAATAATCTGTGGATTGAAGGAGTAATTTGCAGATTGAAAAAATAATTCAGATTAATCCTTCAATCCGTGGAGTAATCTTTTAATTCGTAGATTTAACATATAATCTGGATTATTCAGATTATTTTTTTTTTAATCTGGATCTTTTAAACTTTTAAAAGTGATCCATCAATTTGTGTTACCACAGATAATCTGTCGAATTGGCAGATTGGTTATTCACGGATCGTATCTCTATCTAAACATTTGTCTTTAAATTTATATAAAAATACATTAGATCATATATTAATAAAAATTTAGATTTTCTTTTTTTTTCAAGCTAAAAACATGTTATTCTGAATATGTACAAATTGTTTATTCTCAAATTATTATTTAGAAAAAGATTTTTAATTGGTTCATCATTTTTATATGAACTAGTAATTAAAATATCAGTTTGTTAAGTAACTATAATTTCATGTATTCATAATTTTATAAATTTATTAATAATATACAATTAGGTATGATTATGGTCATTGAAAAATTGAAAAATCTAATTATTTTTAATTTCTTGATTGCTTCCCATGAATTTAACCATTGAACACATCTTGCCACTATTATTACTTCTTGGTTGAGACTAAATTTTGAATAAGTTCATTAATTTAGAAAAAAAGACTTTAAGAAAATTCAATGACATAACATTATTTGTTTTATTCTATTCATATTTTTTATTATTATTTTATAAAATAAAGTGATTGCTTGACAAAATATTTAAGTCATCATTATATGTTCATCTGAACTTTAAGATTTTTTATGATCAAGTGATAAATAATTCTTCTTCACAACATAAAGCTGCTCAATGATAATAATAAATTATTATACTGCATATAACATGTAACTAATACTTTATTTCTTCTAAATACACTGAAAAATAATTTGAAGAGGATGACGACTTGTATCACAATGAGTATGAGATGGTTGGTAAAAAGAAAAACAGAGAAAAAGCAAAAGCACAATTGTCAAATGATCAACACCACCTATATTATTCAGTTCTGCAAATGAAAGAAATACTTTGACAAGTTTGGAAAAGTTACTAACATTTATATTTCAACAGATCTCTTAAAGTCTACATACTAAGGATATCATTAGAGAGTAAAAAATTACAGGAAAATTAAACTTTGTATTTATATAAAAAAGTCAAAAACTTTTTTCAACCATGGAAATATTTGGTACAGGTGATCGATGGAAAGATAAAAAGATCTAAATAAATATCTTAATATCTTCTTTTTTATGTTGTTATTGATGATGTTTCGAATAATTTAATGAAACCATTTATATCTTGGAGGAATTTTAACAGGTAATTATAAATCTATTTCAGATTTATTATCTATTTAGTTTATACGAATTATTACTTTTTTTAAGATTACTAAATTCAAAAATTTAACATTGTTTTTTTATAGCATTACGTAAATATAAACTTTCAATCACTTGACATGTTAAAAAAAAAAAGTGACAAATTGTATCATAATTATTTATTTTATATATAAATATTAATATGTACTGTACTAATAGAGTTAATAATTCAAATAAATTCATTAATATTTAATTCGTGTTCCGTATAATAGAAAATGGGGCAATGGAATCTAACTAAAGTTAGAATAAATAATAAAAATTAATAACATACTTTTAATATCAAGGTGAAATAATTTTATATAAGAAAAAATTTGTTATTTACTATCAATATTCATTAAAATGAATTTTAATTGTAGACAACTAATCTATAAAATAAATATCTTTCCTAGTTCAACCCAACTATACAAAATGCTTTTTCTCTGTGATATTACTTAGTATCCACTGAAAATATTTATACTAATAATCTATCTAATAATGCAAACAAATGATTAAAAATAAATAAATTGATTATAAAAAGAATAAAAGTATCAAATTAATAAATGAGTTATAAAATGATGGAACCGCTACTATTGGTTCTACTAGTTTTACCACTAGTCTAAGTCAGGGAATCTAAAGGAAGTTATGAAATTAAAATGCAACATTCGTTTTTTCATCCATCTCATTCTCATTTTTAAAGGAAAAAAAAAAGATCAAGCCGATACGGCAGAAGTTTGTAAATCAAATTTCGAAGTAGTATCACGATTGTCTTTACTCTTATTATGATGCTTGACTAATGATTTTTTTTTATTTTCTTTTAGTTCACATAAGTGATCAACTCCTAATCGATGCCTAATACAATAATTTTTGCCACACCCTGAACATAATAATTGAACCGCTACTCGATTTTTACATTTTCCAAATGAACATGAATTATATGGTTTGATGGAAGTAGTTTTTGGAGCGGAGATACAACCATTTGATATATGTTGATCCATCTAAAAAATATTATAAAATAAAAATTATTATTAAATATTTTTTCATACTATTTATTATATTTTATATATATTATTGCTTACTCTAACATTTGGATTTTCCCCTCGACTAATAGGCACCGGTATATCACAAATAGGACAAATAGGAACTCTTTCTCCATCGTCAGTAGGTGGTAAGTTAATACAAGAATGTTGTTTAGGTTTTGAATGTTCACCACAATAATAATTTCGACAATGTTGACATTTGAAAGGTAAGTAATCTAGTTGATTACAGTCTGTATTGGAACAATGACGACCTATGTTTAGTAGTTCCATATTATTTTGGTATATATTATTTAATATATTGTTGAAATTATCGAGATATTATTTATATTATGTGCGGTGGTTATTTTACTTGTAGTTATAGAGATCCAAATACAAAAAAAAAAATTCAAAATTCAAGAATAATTTTATGCCATGCAGTATTTATAATTTTTTTTGATAATAATTAGTAATTATGTATAATTGCGTAATGTTAATAAATGTACCTTTCTGTGCTATTCTAGAAGGTTACAGTAATTATTACGTAATTCTATGGTACATCTTTCGCTGTGTTTCAAAAACAATATTTCATTTTAATGCATCGTTGCATTTTTATATTATTTTGTTTTTGAAACCATAGCATCGTTGCATATTTATATTACCAGAAAATCTTTATGTTATTAACTAAATGTCTTGCTATTTTAAACATTTTTTTTTTATTTTTTTTTATCTTAATTAAACTAATATAACTGTTATTGCTAAATCATCGATATAATAGCCTTTAAAAATCACATACTTTAAAGAAATTTTAATCAAAACCTGAATTTTAAATTTATTTTTCTTTTTATAAAAGAAACATATCTCACAAACTATAAGTGAGCAAAAAAAAAATGTCATCTGATAAAATATGCCCAGAATGCAATCAAGAATATACTTATGTCTGGGATAGGTGGTGTTGTCAAGGGACACCTCGGGACAATGTTGGAACAAAATTTTTTTTTTAAAAATGTAAATAGCACAAAATTTTGTTATTAAAGCCTTTGAGCTATTAATTAAAGGTGTTTAGAATTGATTTTTATATTTATTTATAAAGTTTCAATATCTATTTATAGGCTAGTTAAGGATAGGGACAGCCAAAAAAATCTGGGGACATGCAAATTTGACAACACTGGTATCAACCATGTAATTCGAAACATTTCCAAAATGATTTTGATAAAATGGTCAACTAAATGCAAATGATGATTTTGATGTAATAGAATAAATATGTAATGATAGATTTAAAGATATTAAAGAATAGCAAAGGGTGGATTTGGAAGCTGAGTGGGAATTAAGGATGTTAAAAATCAACAATGGAAAGAACAGTTCAAAAAGATGTAGCATTAAAAAAGTATTATAATAATTTATAAGTTTAAATGAATATTTCCTAAATGAGATAAATATTTATTAATATTAGACAATTTGTTTTTTGAATTATATATTATATAAACATTAATTATGAGTAAAAAATATATATTATTTAGATAAAAACATGAAGTGAAGGTGCTTATGAAATTAACAAGATCCAAAACAAATGAATTTAGAATATATGGATAGTGAAAATCTTAGAAAATAATTGATTGAAAATTAAAATTAGACTATTTAGACCATTGAATTTTTTAATATAATTTGAAACTTTTTATTCATTAGGTATTTCAGATTTTGATTCAAGTTAATAAGACAAAATATAAAAATTTGGAGAAAAAAAAAATTTTTAGTGTATGATCTTATATAGTTTCAAAAATGCTAAGTGAAGAATATATCCACTTACAAAAATTTGCACAAGTTTTTTGTGTTTTTCCTGTTTTTTCAATTTTACTTACAATTTATAAGACATATGATGATTTTTATTAAGGTATTTTAAGATAGATAGAAAAGTCTTGTTCTTGGTTACATATATCATTTATCTATCTAATACCTTAGTAAAAAATCACTCTGTGCCTAATTTACTGAAGATTATACACCAACTTGTCAAAAGTATCCAGGCAACTGTTTTTTTATCAAATTTATCAATAAAATTCAAGGGCAAATTGTGACACAAGGAATAATTTAAATTGCATAAACTTTTTTTAAAAAGATCCCCTGATCAATGGCTATCATATGATATCTTTTCTGTTAAAATTGGATACTTGCTTGAACAGAAATCTTGTCTTAAATAAAGTTATCCAAAAATTGCAAATCAAATTGTTAATAGTAATGTCTCTCATTTTCAATAACTATTTAACAGAAGTATAATATATCTTATAAGGACTTGTAGCCCTAAACTAAGCCTACAATAATTATTAGTATCATATTTGCTATTTTCTAGTTAAGATCAGAACTTTACTTAGACATGACTAAAAAATAATTGAAATTATTGTTGATCATTTTGTCATTTTAGAAAAATTATCAATAATTTCTACATATAAAACATTTTTTGTAACAATAAAATCTTAAAAATGATACTAAGCAATCTTAAGAAGAAAATTATTGTATATCTACTGTAAAGTTTTAAAGCTATATTATGAAAATATAGCAAATAATCATCAATTAAACTTAAGAAATTATTGTTAATCTTTTCTTTAATTTTAATAATATATATTTGCAAACTTTACATTATGTGTAAAATAATATTATCTTCAAAGTTACTTATTATCACTTTTAATTTTTATTATAAAATAATAAATTTTTATATGTAACAACTTTTGATTTGATTTGATTTGAATAACTGACACGGTCTTGCTTTATTTTATTTAGATTGTACATAAAATTACAAATGAAGAAATAAAATTATCTAAGATTAAATCTATCAATTAACCTACTGCCATTAAAAATAAACTAATGTTTACTTTTAAAATTAGTAGGTTTCCACTACCATGGTCCCACTAATGTCTAGGTTTAAAAATAAAGAAGATAAAATATATGAAAAAGAAGTATTTGTTATATTTAATAAGTTGTCTAATACTAATTCTATTACTTTAAATTTTTGTATTTCTAGTTTTTTTTAATTTGAATATAGTTTTCTTCATTTCTTACATTTTATTTCAACTGTTATGTTATTATTTTCTTTTTATTTATTTATTGTTTCACATCTTTCTATTTATTTTGTATATATTTTTTTTTGTAAATTCTTGAATTATGTCTTTTATTATTTTTTCTATTTCTTTTGTTTCTTTTTTCATAATTTTTTTTGATTTTTTTTAAAAAGATTTTGATATTATATTTCTTATTATATCTATAAAAAAAAAAGTTAAGTATTTGTTTATTTTTATTGAGTTTATTCTATTATTGTCTATTTAATAATCACTGTAGTTTTTGAACTCTTTTTTTATTATTTCATGTAACTTTGAGTGGTTATATATTGTTTGTATTTTTTTCCTTACTATTGTGAAAAATTCTTTTTAAAGTTTTTTAATTCCGTTTGTACATGTTAAAGCATATATTGATATTTCTTCATAGTTATTACATTTTATATATTTTAAGCTTTGATACAATTGTGAATATCTTTCATGCATTAGCTTTTTTGTAAGTAAACCTTTTATTAGAAATTTTACTTTGAACGTTTTATACCTTTGGTCTTCTTGTGATATTTCATTGTTTGTAATTTTTGAGTACATTAGCATTTTTTTTGTTTACTTCTAATCTGTTGTTGTTATTATTGTTTTTGAAAATGTTGTGGTTGTTCTATATAATATTTTCCAATTTACCAAGTGATTTATTGATATAATTTCTTTCATGTATTTTTGTATTGATATATCTAATATTTCTTGGTTTACTATATTAATCTATTTCATTACATCTGATGTTCTGAATTTATTTTTGTTTTTCTCATTTTGTTTAAATTTCTTTTATTAACAAGTCTACTTTTTCATTTAATTTTATTCCTGTATAGATTTTAATTTTTGCTAGTTCTATTTTTATTTCTTTTTTTGTTATTAATTCTTTTATTATTTGTAGTATATATGAATTTTTGTAAGATTTTTTTTTTCTTAGGTTTATGTATCTGTTTATTACTGCTATTACTATTTTTGAATCTGTGTTTATTTTTATTATTTTTTTTTCAGAGTTATGTCTAATAATACTACTATTGCCATTAATTTATATCAGAAAATTTTTAAAGGCAAAATATTTTGAAAATTTTTACCTCATTAAATTTTTAAAGATATATAACACTTTCGTAAATTTTATAAAAAATTTTTGAAAATTTTCAAACTGTAAATTTTCAGAATTTTTTATTTTATTTATTTTCAAAAATATATATATATATTTTTGTAAATCTCCATTTATTTTCAAAAATTTTTACATATATTTTCATAAATATCTGTTTATTTCGTAAATATTCACGAAATTATTATAACAGTATATTCAAGATTTACATATGAAATATTTTAATATTTTACAAATTTTTTTAAAACTAAATAATTAATTACAAAAATAAAATGCATATTGTAATGATATTATTATTGAACATTAATTGGTTATTAATTTTATTGATTTAATAAATTTTTGAAATATTTTATTACATAAATGTTCAGAATATTCTATATAATTAATAAATTTTTCAGAATATTCTATTACATAAATTTTCAGAATATTTTTATAATTATATACATTATTATATATATATTGTTTTTATTATTCTTTATTATCTTCATCTTCTTCGTCGTCATCATCGTCATCATCATTATCATCGTTATTATTATCATTGTCATCATTATCATCTTCATCATTATCATTGTCACCATCACCTTCATTATTTTTATTACTTTTATTTGTTATTAATAGTTTCGTGTACTTTCTTTAATGTATTTTTTCAAATTTCTGCAAATGAGAGTATCATATTATCAATATTCTCAGGTTTATTTTTCATTTTTTTCTAGTTTTTTTCAAAAGTAGAAAGACTGAAGGTGAAAAAAATAATTCTTATACATCTTTCTCTGTTTTAATTTCAATTTCTTTATTTACTATTTTAACCTATGTTTTATTTAATTAGTATTTTTCGGAATTATTCGAAACAAAAATAGCACTGTGAAAAACTTACAATATTTTTTTTAAGAAAAAAATTAATTATCTCTTCTGACACACTGATTTCTCTATTATCGAAGTTCAATAATACTTCAGCAATTGATATTGTCCAAGTGGTATACAAGCTGAATGTTTCCATTTTTGGTTAAACTTTTTCTATTACTTGTATCATATAGGTCAGGAAATTTTCATTATTATTAATTTTTTTAAAAAAACTATTGTAAGCTTTAGAAACAATCGGGTGACTTTTTCAC